AATTGCAAAAACAGACGGACGTGGTCATTCCTTTATATTTTGGCCAAAATTTGCGGGATAATAATTATACAAAGCAGTATGATAATATGTTAACTGCAAAGATTTTTGGGTCACCTGAGCTGAGGGTGGGGCCACAATAGGAAATCAAGATTTAACAAGGGATTGTATCGGGAAAAAATCTTTAAAAGTCTTCTTTTCAAGAAAAACAAGGTCATGATAAGTCATATTGATATGTAAGTATCATCTTATAGAGCAAATTGAAGATGTTCAAGTCATGGCCTCAGGGGGTAGGGTGGGACCACAATATTTTACATGAGAGTACATGTATATGGGAAAGCAATTTTTGAAATCCTTCAAAAAAGTTCTTGAAAAAAAGTTTTTCCCACCTTTCCCCAGAGGCCATGGTTTAAACATACACGTATTTCACTCTCCACTACCAGAGAATACAAATATGACTAATCTTGTTGAACGAGGTGTAAACAATCAATAAAGGCATGGTTTTCTAAACTATCAGTTCAATTGAAAGAAAAAAGGAATATTTATAACTATGGTATGACCTACGAAATGAAACAGTATTTAAAATTTATTTACAAAACAGACACGATCAAATAAGGGTAACGACTCATGGACCTCCAAAGATACTTCATGCATAGGCCTACAATTCTATATGAAAAATTATCAGAATATTTTGTTTTTTTTTTTTTTGGGGGGGGGGGGGGTGGTTGTGGCCATAACAGGCCTTGAACAGTCTGATAATTCTTCATGTAGAATAATATTCGGCATTTATTCATTACTGATCGTCAAAAGAAACAGGAACGTCAAATTTGATAGGAATTTAAAGGTTCAGCTTGAGTATAGACATGTATATAACTAATCAATGGTTTACACAATCCATCCAGTTCTGCCTCTCATAGTGCTTTCTTCAAAACCAGTGCACCTTGAAATTAGATGTATTACAATCAACCAGTATCGTCACTGCGTAATTTAAACAATTCACAGAAATATCTACTGGAATCAAATTACTTAAATCTTTCGAACCGTGTTGAAATCAATTGTATGTTAAATCATAAAATCGGTGCAGTAGATTATGTTAATCTATATTTTAAATTAATGGTTTATTAATACATAATAGTTTTTTTCTGTGGTTACTCTAGGAATGTCTAGAACACCAAAGAAATATTTGTAACGTCAGACTGTACATATGAATATGACAACGCAGTTCTCGACATGTCGGTTGTATATGTTACATTAAATGAGTTTAAATGAAATAACAAAATACAATGAATTTGAATCGCATGAATACAACTGATTCTTATTTATACAATGTTTATTATATTTTCCTTTTTAAAAAAATGCCTTGCCTTTCATTTTCAGAAATTTACGAACTTTGATGATTCAAATAGGCACATTTCATGAACCTATGTATCCAGTTTTCATGAATTGAATATAATCCTAGTTTCATGGCCGTAGGAACCGGGGGCAGCGGAAGGGGTGCAACCCCCTCCAATAATTTTGCTAATATACAATATCTGTACACTATAGAAAAAAACCTACTTTTAGTGTGTGCTACCTCAATAACTACATCTGATGTTCCTTTTTGTCTTTTGCTTGTCAAGGAATAATTGCTTGGTAGTGGCCACCCAAACTGAAACTGCCCCCCCCCCCCATGAAATTGCTTCCTACAGGCTCTCATTTAAAGGCCAAAAAGACCTAAAATCAAAGACCATTTAGTATGACTTTCCCAGAATACATCTTTTCTTGAATATAATTATAAACTGCTAAGTTAAAAACAATAAGATAGGAGATGCAAAATACCACTATGTAAGATAGGAGATGCATTTTGCCACCGTAAGATAGGAGATGCACAATGCAACTGTAAGATAGATGTACAATACCACAATGTAAGATAGGAGATGTACAATACCACTGTGTAAGATAGGAGATGTACAATACCACTGTGTAAGCTAGGAGATGCACAATACCACTATATAAGATAGATGTACAATACCACTATATAAGATAGGAGATGCACAATACCACTGTGTAAGATAGGAGATGTACAATACCACTGTGTAAGATAGGAGATGTATAATACCACAATGTAAGATAGATGTACAATACCACTATATAAGATAGGAGATGCACAATACCACTATGTAAGATAGATGTACAATTCCACTATGTAAGATAGGAGATGTACAATACCACAATGTAAGGTATATGTACAATTCCACTATGTAAGATAGGATATGTACAATACGACTATGTAAGGTAGATGTACAATTCCACTATGTAAGATAGATGTACAATACCACTATGTAAGATAGGAGATGCACAATACCACTATGTAAGATAGATGTACAATACCACTATTTAAGAGAGGAGAATACAATACCACTAAGTAAGATAGGAGATGTACAATACCACTATGTAAGATAGATGTACAATACCACTATGTAAGATAGGAGATGTACAATACCACTATGTAAGATAGATGTACAATACCACTATGTAAGATAGATGTACAATACCACTATGTAAGATAGGAGATTACAATACCACTATTTAAGATAGGAGATGTACAATACCACTATGTAAGATAGATGTACAATACCACTATGTAAGATAGATGTACAATACCACTATATAAGATAGATGTACAATACCACTATGTAAGATAGGAGATTACAATACCACTATATAAGATAGGAGATGTACAATACCACTATGTAAGATAGATGTACAATACCACTTTGTAAGATAGATGTACAATACCACTATGTAAGATAGGAGATGCACAATACCACTATGTAAGATAGATGTACAATACCACTATGTAAGATAGGAGATGTAAAATACCACTATGTAAGATAGATGTACAATACCACTATATAAGATACATGTACAATACCACTTTGTAAGATAGATGTACAATACCACTATGTAAGATAGGACAGTACAATACCACTATGTAAGATAGGAGATGCACAATACCACTATGTAAGATAGATGTACAATACCACTATATAAGATAGATGTACAATACCACTATGTAAGACAGATGCACATTACCACTATGTAAGATAGATGCACAATGCCACTATGTAAACAGATTTCATGAAAGTTTCATTTAATGGCATTCAATGGTGTGTGTGGAGTTGATAAAGAATAGCTACCGGAGTTACAGACTCATGAGAGGTACACCCCATCACTATATATATATATACCCCCTACTTTTCAGGCGGGGGTATCATAAAAATCTGGTATAGGTAATGTATTGGAATGGAAGGGAAGAATATTAATTCTAAACACCTGCTATTTAATGGCAATTAATTTGTGCAGTCTTACCAAATAAAGGAAAAAATCCTATACTGCATATTACATTCAACCATATAACAAATATTACACTCTGATAAACTTGTTTAATGAACTCCACTTCCTGTATAATTAATGTCAGTAAAATATTTTAGACATCTCCATTTCCTGCCACAGATATTACCATAGTTAACTTAATCAAAGCTGTGGCTAATATACAAAGTAAAATGACACGTAAGAAAATAAACTTATCACATTTATTTATCTGAATTGAGCTTGAAGATGATATATAAATTACATATAGAAGAATAATATATATAGAGTTTGAACACCATTCAAAATACTGTATAGGGGGAAAATAACTCGCGGTGTTAATATTCGCTATATTCACGGTGTTTATAAATCCGTGAATTCAAGAAACAGTGAATAAGTTTTAAATATTAAACCTCGATGTTTTATTTGGAAATTTGAGAATAGACTACGATAGGTATATATACGTACAATACATGGTCATTCAGTAATTACGAGTATAGTACTTGTCATCCAATTATCTTAATTATCACGCTTTACTTTAATTCAAATAAGCAGCTAATTACCTGTATTTATTGTTCAAAAGTTGTTTTAATAGATACATGTTTCATCGGTCAAAACGCATGGGTCATTGGTTTTGATTACCCGTGCGTAACGGTACCACATGTATTTGTTACCTGCATTAGCATTATGCGTATTAGTTTTTATGGAAATTTTGGTTTAAAAAATATTCGAATAACTATCGAACTTGCTGAAGATATGGAAGGATATCATTACGTCTACCTACATTAATACACTGATTAGCGACCAGTGTCTTTTTTTCGCTGCGATTGGGTTATACCTTCGGAAAGATGAACGTACACATGCACTTATAGGAAAGTCATTTGTTTTGATTAATCATCTATTAACTACTAAATCTAATCATTTTATAAAAACCTACCCTGTTCGTGAAGTGAATACATAACGCTGATGAATGTCGTTCTAGCTATACTATGGATTACACGTATAAAGACAAAGGAGGTAACTTTTATCATATACCGATTCCGCGAATTCAACAAACCGCGATAGTGTCCGAGGAGAGAAAAACGTGAAAATTACAACCCGTGAAATTAATCCCCTATACAGTATATCGATTGGATGAAGCCTAGTCAATGTAGGACATGCTTGTTTAAGGTCATACAACATTCACCTCTACACATTCTCGAGTGTAGATACATTTATTTTTCATTTTTCGTTTTTGTGTATGTAAATATTCAATACATCAACATGGTATATGTTTTCAAGTAGCTTTAGATGATACAATGTATTGTATTTCAGAATGCAATGTGTTTCCACATGCAGTTTTTAGTTTCTGCACTTTTACTGAAACACTGTAAAAGGCTGAATATTTGACTTCACAAAGATAAATACACACACACACTCTCACACAAACACACATTGACTCTCATCAACATACATAACTCCAAGATCTCAGCTCTCCATCATTCAACACCACCAACCCAAATACATATGTACACTCTGTATCCACACCTTCCTGAACCAGATTTCTTTTTTGGGGATGGTATTTTTCAGATTTCAACATTTCCAGAAGGTGAGCAAATGCTTGTAACACTTTCTTCTGTAGTTTTAAAAACTGGAAATAACTGTATGTTTCACTGTAGAACCTTGGAATCCTTTGTTGTTTTTTTTTATGTAGGTTCTATGAACTCTCTACTAGATTTGCTTCTTTACATGAAGATTGCATCTGTTATCCTGCTTCTTAAAGAACTAGTCCTTCATTAAAAATATGGTAGCAATCCTTTACTATGTTTAGTAATCGGCACTACTGTGAGCCAGGTAGTCACGGCGACCAATGTTCTGGGCTTGTTTAGTCTGGATAGCCTCCAGTTTAGGACAGTCTGCAATACGATGTCCCAATCCACCACAGTATAAACAACCAACCTCTCCTGAAATTACATAAAATCACTGCAAGTTGTCTGGGGCATCATGGATACATATGTTATTCTATTAAATTCTAAGAAGAAATATGCTGTAAAATACATGTAAGAGGTCTTAAGGAAAGACGATATGTTCCTCAATAATATATAATTTTTCCCATGATTTTGTCACTGAAGCATTGCTGCTTTAACATGTTTACTCACAAAAAATTGAGGTACTTTAACAGGCATTTGTGCAACATACCAGAGGGTAGCTTTTCTTATATAATCCTTTTGGAAAAAAATTTAATTTACCAATATCAATTTTTTTAGTGTTTGGACTTTTTAAAGACATTTAGAAACTGGTTTAGAAATCAAAAGGTAATTAAAATTTTGAATATTTTTCATACATTATCAAGATATACAAAACAGATATTTGAGGAACGTATCGTCTGACCTTAAATAAGTTCAGTTTATTGTAAATCCTAATTAACTGACCTCCAATGTCCAGGTACTTTTCATTTTCTGACTGCATGTTGGCCAGAAAGGGGGGTATCTTTTGCTTTGCTTCTCTTAGCAAATGTTTTAAATCCAGTAAGATGGACTCCTCTGAAATAATAATTCATGCACGTTTCATAAAATCAGTTCCACAGACACCAAACTTATGAGGGTTTTTTAGTCCACTAATTCCTCCAGCATAAATTCTGACAATTCTCAGACAGATTCTTTTGCTTAAAATAAAGAACATGTATGATATACTTCTTCACTGGTTTTTAAATAAGCTATGACATACCAACTCCTTTGTTGATGAATGTTGTAGCTGTTCCCCTGTTTCCACAGCGACCAGTTCTACCAATTCTATGGACTAAAACAAGTAGGAAAAAGACAATATTCACTCTGAAATGGTGATTCTTATTTAAAGTCAATACATATATTTCAATTTTTGTAAAACACTCAAAATGAGAACTCAAATTCCTTACTTATTAATCATATATAATTTTTTTTACTATTGTGTGGATATACAGTAGATGTGTACCTACAGTTATGTCATCATAAGTAATAAAGTTTTTGATGATAAGACATTTGATACTAGACAAGGTGTATCAATACATGTATATTTTAAAAAATTTTAAGAATCTCTAAAGTATCAAAGTATCAGCCTAGCCTCGCATCTTACACCTTAACACATGGCTGCTCTTTTAATTTCTATAAAACTGTTGAGCAAACAATGAATGTTTTTATCACCCATACCATAATTCTCAATGTCCTCTGGCATGTCATAATTAATGACATGCTGGATATCTGGGAAATCTAGTCCTTTAGAGGCTACATCAGTCGCCACCAGCACATCCTTCTCACGACTCCTAAACTGGTTCACTGATCTGGTTCTGTCCTCCTGATCTATAAGAATTTCATTCAGTGAGCTGTGAACTGGAACTCTTCAAATTAGAGGAGTGTTTGGTCGTCTGACTGGGATAACCATGACATAACAGAGAATGCAAAACATGCTGATCTCAATCCCATTTTGAATGTAAAAAGTATCTGTCATTCCCATTAGAGAATAGAATAGACATATGTGAGAGTGCAAAAGCCCTGAATTTATCATCCATTGATGTAAATTACGACATTTCCAAGGCATGTATACATTGTAATTGGAGATGGATTATCAACACTTGTCAACAACTTCTTGTAATAGATATGAATTGATATCGTATGTCTACTTCTGATGCATGTAAAGTCCACAACAATACAGTGTCTCATTTGCATGTTTGTTAGGCAGTTTTTTTTTCATCGATATTCAATATATTGTTTACATGTCGTTACGATTGTCCCAGAAATCCTGCGAGATTTTTACATTTTCTTACTTTTTCACAAAAGAGCAGACTAAGAACTATAACTCTTCCATAGTGGAAATAGAAAGCATTACAACCTATGCTTAAAGAAGCAAACAGGTCTGTCTCATATTTATATGGGTAAATGAGGTCTGAAATTTTCCCGACTTAGATTAAAATCTGACAGGTAGACTTTAGCACATGTATATGAACCCTTACATGGTTAACTAAGACAATGAATAACCCTAGCTCAGTCAATACTTACCTTTTCCACCGTGGATGGCCACAGCCTCTACACCTTTCAGTAGCAGGTATTCATGTATAGCATCAACGTCTTGTTTCTTCTCAGCAAATATTAACACCTGTATCAGCAAAAATATCCTTTTTTCATACTAATTCATTCATTATCAATGAAAATTTGGCAGGGACCAGACATACATTCTACCAAAGATAAGTTTAAGAAAATGCTTGCTAAACACTTTTCCCCCCAAAAGAGAAAGAATACTGTAAACCAACTTTTATTCGTGTGCGAGAAATACCCATGAGTTTAGCGATCTACGTTAACTCGCGAATAATAATCGCAGCGAACCATTTATTTTGCTTTGTATTTGTAGAGAATGTTTCCTCAGTCGTGAAACTTAATCATTGCAGATTGATTTCAAACTGACAATTAGCGAATAAAAGATGACGTGAATAATAGTTGGTTTACAGTATCACGAACTGAATTTCATCACTGTTGCCTTTTTATGATGAAAAACTGTACTTAGAAGGATGGCTACCATTATATGACAATTTAAAGTAAATTGTACTTACTGGAGGAGGAGTCTTCTGCAGACATTCCAGAATGTACACCATCTTAGCTTCCTGTTTGACGTATTCTACTTCCTGTGTGATGTCCAGGCTGGCAGCTCCCGCTCTTCCCACATTAATGGTCACAGGTTTCACCAAGGCACTGCGGGCAAAGTTCTGGATCTTCTTTGGCATTGTAGCTGAGAATAACAGAGTTTGTCTTTGCCCCTGGAAAATGATGAAAATGTACCATCAGTAACTATATGTATGCCTATTCAACTACATCTTTAAGTACACTGTATTAGTAGATGAAAATTCCTCCTTTTACATCTCATATTTTTTCATGTATCAAATGGCCACACTCTTTTCGTGATTACCTATATTTAATATTACACTATAGTTGATTTTTCAATGATATGTTGTAAATATATAAAAACTAAAATGATAATCCTTTTATATATATGTAGTAGGGGTGTAACGATATACCGGTTATCGTGATACATTTCTCATGAACTTGGTAATCGGTGCAGCTATCTGGAATAACCTTTTTTTCAATATGGTTTGAAAATTAGATTTCACATCTTTTAATTGCTTTACAAAATGTGTTTTGAGAAATAGAATTTCGTATAATTAAAATTTAACTAAGGTTGTGCTAGTAAATTGAAATTAACATTTATTCCCAACAATATTACAATGATACATTTTGAGAAATAATTTTTTATAACTTTTTACAGAATAAAAATGAAAGGCGATACGTATCAATAAATATTATGAGACGCAAGTAAAAAATATTGAAATATTACAATATGTTTTTTTTTTGTGTATCAACACTCATCCCTAAATGTGGGTGACCTTGACACACAGAACTGACCTTGAAATAAGAGAAGATGGTTCTGATGTCTTCCTCAAATCCCATGTCAATCATCCTGTCAGCTTCATCCATTGCTAGGTAACGACAGATATCCAAGGTAACCATTTTTTTATCCAGCATGTCCATCAAGCGCCCAGGAGTAGCCACCATGATGTGAACACCCCTGTTCAATACCAGATATACATGTACAGTGTATAACAAACAAGTTTCTGTGGTAACAGGCAATATGTAATGCATCTTCAACAATGACTCTGACTTCATATAACTTGATATGCATTTACATGTACATATTTTTTTATCAGTTGAGTCTGCATGCTAGATACAAGTACATTCGTCTTAGGAATTTTAAAGACTGGTAAGATGAAAAGATCTTAACCTATGAACATGTCCTAAGGTCATGCTTAAGTTTTCTTTGTTATATAAATGTACCTTTAAATATTGTTAGGTCTTTTGAACATCTCAGGTAGTCCAAAATATCTGACATTTTCCAGGATTTTTTCATGATTTTGATATTTTACGTGTCACGAAAATGTCAGAACCAGCACCATTACAAAAACTGGAAATTCGCCGTCTCAAACCTCAGTTGATTTTAGATACTTGTGAACCGAATTAAATGCCGAACTCACAACTTATCAAAAGCACAATGCTTTTAGTACTCACCAATAGTGAAAAAAAGAAAACATCACTCCACATTTCGTTACAGGATTCGCAAGATTTTAAAATGCACGAAATGAAAACAAATCTCGACAGACTGATAAAATGTTTTCATCAGATTGTATATTTTATAAATGAACCATAAAAACGATGTTGGTGAGTACCAAAATTATTGTTCAATTGATAATTTGTAAGATTGAAATTTAATTCAGTTCGCAAGTATCGAAAATCAACCTGAGAATGCCGCCTCCAGTTGGAGGCGGCGAATTCCCAGTTTTCGTAATGGCATCGGTTCTGATGTTTTCCTGGCAGGTAAAATATCAAAACCGTGAAAAAAGCCTGGAAAACATCAGATATTTTGTACTACATCTCAGGGTGTGTATGACAGACAATCAAATACATGTATAATGTTCAAATACAAATATCATGAAAATATTCTCTGATCACATCTGATTTTTCAGATTATACTTGGATGTATAAAGTACGTAACAGGTGTTTTTTTAACCGATGGCATTAGTGCAATTAAAATTTCGCTGACCTTTTGATGGCTTCCATCTGGTCTTTAACAGACATTCCTCCAATACACAAAACACTTCTCAGCTGAGGGAAGCCATCATCAGCCAGACATTTGAAGTAGTACTCTATAATCTCATTGGTCTGTCTCGCCAACTCACGCTATAACATACATGTAACACAGTTATGTTAATGTATGGAACAATCAACAATTGATACATTCATTTGTAATGAACAAGTTAATCTAATAAACAGAATATTTAAGTTAAATTTGACACTTCTGCTTTTATTCCCTCACTGTGATATTTACCAGTCAAACTGAGAGCAGCTGCTAATCTGTTGTGGAATATCAGTTGTCCCATTTCAGAAACAAAATTTGATAAAAAGGAAGTAAATATTTTATGACAAGTCAGTATTGACCATTGCCCCTTGTCTTACCGACGGGCAGATGCACAGCCCATATGGTCCCTCATTTTTGATAAAGGGTAATTTTTTCTCCTGCTCCAAAGCAAACATTACAATAGGTAATGTGAACACCAGAGTTTTACCAGAACCAGTGAAAGCAATTCCAATCATGTCACGACCCAGTAATCTACAAAAATAGAGCACACGTATACTATACATTATCCATGATTATGTGAAAAGAATAAATAAGAGCACACCATGAATCTGTTCTAATGGCAGATTCATTTACTCAATGTCCAAGCAATTAAACAACCATTAATGGCTATCCCTGGGACATTAAAACACATTTCATTTGACACACTATCAGAGTCTATAGTACATGTACCGATAATCACAATATTCTTTTAACTTACACGGTGGGGAGACCCTGTATCTGGATAGGAGTGGGGGTAATGATCCCCTTCTTCTTCAGTCCTGAGAGGATTGCTTTGGGGAACTTCATCTCTTTAAAGGTTTTGATGGGAGGGGGGAGGTCCTCTCCCTCAACCAGGATGTGACGTTTCTTCCTCACCTTCTCATGGTATGACTCTGGGAGCTTCAGTATACATCTGGGTGGTCGCCACCTTAACCAAACAAGAGTGGACAATAACGGACATTACATTTCATTAATAATTCATTAATCATACATTTAAGAATTGTTTTTGAAGGGGGAGGAAGGAAAGCATAAACTTGATTCAAGAGTGCTAATCAATTCAAATTACTGATTGTCCTGTCAAATTACTGTTTCTGATTGACCTGAATTAAAGATCTGAACTTAACAGAACAAAGTGGGTGTATGAAAAATCTTAAATTGATATAATTAACACAGAATGAACAATGTCTTTTGATATGCAGGTTATGTGTCTAGGAACGTGACTTACCCAGTCTTAATCGGATGATAATACTGAATTCCCTTGGCTAACTCCGCCACACCCATTAAAGCTATTAAAAAAATCAGAAAAACAGCCATACAGCAGAACATATGGATACATTTTTAAAAAAAAATCTAAAATCTGTTGATAACATGTAGATGATTAACTTTTACACCACGAAAACATCATCATTTACAGACAATGGTACAGACTCTATACACTGATACACTGTGATGATGTATTATGATCAATCACTATACCTTTCTTTTCTGCCACACTCTCCAAAATCCTTTCCTCTTCTTTCAACATTTTTTCCTTGGCTGTTTCTTTCTTAGCTGCAAATCAAAGATAATAAAATACAAAAAACCCCACCTTCCTTTGGTCTTTGAAAAAGTGTTCATAATTTTCATTCCCTTGATTTAAGGAAAACTGACTACAAGGGATCCTTGCTTATTATCAAACACACCACTCAGCATAAAATAATGTTCCACCTAATAATCATGAAGTCTCATGTCATCTGCACTTTATGTTTTTCATCTAGACTTTGCCGAGTTTACAGAAATAGATTTTAAAATAATAGTGAGCACAGCGAGCTCAATAGACTAACGTGTAAGAACAGAGGAAATTCAGAATAAAATCTGGACATTCGTCAGGCAAATTTTCTTGTGCAACATTCCCCAAATTCCTTCGTTACCAGGATTCCATGCGAAATTATTTCAAAACATACAAAAGACCAAGGATAATTGTTCCTAACCAAGAGATATGTTTACTTTTCTTTCTTTGCAGAGAGCTAAAAAGAAACAAAAAATAATTGCATCTACTCTACAACATATTTCATTAAACATTACACAAGACCTGTAGTCTCATTCAACCAGATGCTCGGCTGTCCCCGTAGATTCCGACATCATGTGACGTCACAGTCTAGACTGTGTCTCGTGCAGTTTGACTTTTGAAGAGGCTGATCAATGTTACAGGTGTAAGCTGTGTATAGGTTTTTGATGGTACAGCTGTGCTCCCCCCAGCGGTCAATCCATAAAACATATTTTTTTATGATTATGAGATAAATACCCTCAGCCTTTTTCTTGAGTTCGCTATGCTGATCCAGTAAGCTGACTTTTGAGAGGATCCCTGGATCTTGTTCCCCATCATTCCTTTCTCCTTCCTCTTCCAGCTGACCTTCGGATTCTTCATTAGTGCTATCCTTCTGGCTCTCTTCTTTTAGTGTTTTGACACGACCCAACCTTTTCTCTGCATCAGTTATCTGACATTGAGAATATCACTTTGTTTTAACAAACTTCAATGGGTCTGCATATGCAGTTTTAAGTGAAACATTATGGTTAAAAGAAGTAAAAGATTTGTAAAAAGTGCATCACAGATGCAAAATTAAGGGAATTGAACTTGTATTCAATTGCTCTTATTATCTAGGTAGATCAGAAATCACATCATATTAAAGATATTTAGCAGTTGTAAAATTATGAAAAAAATTGTGGATGGATTAAAATCAACCCTAGAGAACCATACACAATTTAAACCAATTATTCTATAGCAACCTTCTCTTTCTTCCTTTGCTTTAGAGGAACATAGGGTACGTAGTCATCCTCTTCATCTGACGATTCTTCCTTTTTCTCCCTCTCCAAAATTCTCTGCCATATTCATAAACAAATCAATACCCATATCTTTACAATTCATATTATACTTGAGACAAATTAAACTACGACAGTACGATAATCATGATTTATTTCTGGCGATTTTGAGACCAACTAAGCTTTACCATAATATTTTTATTTATTCAATTTGACAAAAACCACATGTGGCGCAAGTCATACATACAGTAAACAAATATATAGTCACACAGATTTTCTTATATTAAATGCATCACGTATGAAGTTACAAATATTTCTTGTTGATTTAACATCTGCTGGATTAAGAATTTCATAAGATATACATGTATTGTTAAAAAGTGTACAAAATTCACTTCTTAGTTGTTCATAAATTGAACATACAAATAAAAAACGATGTTCATCTTCAACAACAGTTTGACAATTAATACAATATCTTTCATCTCTTGGTATAATTGGGTTACAATATCTGCCAACCTCTATCTGTAATTTGTGGGCACTTATTCTTAATCGAGTCAAAAAAGAGCGAAGATTCTTGGAAATGGAATAATTTAAATATGGTTGAATTTCAAGCTTGTTTAGATTTCCTTGACTTATTAACTGGCTGTAGAATGATAATTTGCAATAATTTTCGAGGCAAGTTTCATAACATTTTTACCTTTCTATAAGAAGACATCTGTAATTGCCGTTCTTCAGTAATTAATTTCAGATTAACATCCTCAACACTCTTAGATCATATTTTCTTGTTGTTTACTTCACTTCTGAATGTCGTAAAATAGACGATTTAAAGCGCTTTCAAGACGAAGATGAGAATCACACTAAAACCCGCGAAACCAAGGAATTACAATGATTTTTCTGTAAAATTGGTAAACAAGCGCCCCTACTGTTTTCTTAATTTAAAAAAAAATCAAACATATGTAGTATAATCGGAATTGTTCATGTAAATGTAACAGATTTGTGTTGTGTGGTGATGGTAAAATTAACAACAAGGCTGTTGGTTCTTGTTTGAACAAGAAGGACCTCTTTATTATGGATCGGTTAATAGTGATGGAAAAATAAAGTAAAGAAACCCTGTAATGAAATAACAAATTATAAGTATTCAGAATAAAACTATAGAATTATTGATCAATATCATGCAAGTGGAAATACAAGTCTCAATGTCAAAAGGTCTTCAAGTATGGTACACTTATGAAAAACTGAGTCACCAAGACATGACCCGGCATAACTTTCCACTGCTAAATCAGAATTAACCAAAAACACAAAGAAAACTTGGAGGGGAAAACAAAACCCAATCCAAAAGCATAAGACAAACTAAAAAAAAACAATGAAATTAAAAGATACAAAATGACCTTGGCCAGAATATAATTACAGCCCTGAGGCTAACTCTGGACCTCTCTGGAAAAGAACAATTTAAAAGTCAACACACTTTACTACAGATTAAATGAATACTTATTTGATTCAGCTGTAGAAGTGTGCTGCAAATAAAAATATATACATAATTAATTTAATGAATAAATGCACATGCAATATCCATTGCTATGCACATGTGCATAATATATAAAAAACATGAGTCTGTCACATAAAATTCTTAGAAGGATTCTTGTCTGCATGGCTTCTGACGAATTAAAATATTGAAGTATATTTAAAATACAATACAATACAGTATTTATTGGCGCAAACACAATTACATATATCCCATTTATATTGTATAAGATCATGCATGTATTTTTCTTTCCTCCGTACAACTGTACGTGATAAAAAAAAAGATACACGTGCAGTTTTTAATCCAGCAAGAACTATATATATGGCGGAACAGCAGCGTAGAAAAATATCACAAGGTTAATTAAGGCCGCCTTTTTTTTGGCCATGTGAAAATTCAAACCTTGCTCAGTTTTAGGTGAAAATATATTAAATTTCACTTGGGATGCATATCTATTAAAAATGAAGAATGTTCTTACTAGTCCCTGTATTATGAGATCATGAATTGCGTCATTATCCTCAAGTCCTGAAAATTTCTTCAAAAACTGCTGTTTTTCAATATTTTGCATAGACCCCAAACTCTGATCCAAAATGTTCATTAATATAATGATAGAACTGTTTCAGAAGATTATAATCCATGCTTTATTTTTTGGATCGAGAGGTGGGGGCATATTTTAATTCTTTACAGACGGTATTCAAAAACACCAATTTTCTTCAAATTCAAGAACATTGCAATTTTACAAAGCCTGTTTATCAATACCTGGACTCTCAGGGGAAACTTTTTTTATAGGAATTGAAAACACTAAGTCTCTATTTTATATTGATGTTTAAAATGGGACATTGGGACTTGGTCAGTTGATTGGTATATGGACAGGACCATTTAATGGATAAAGTGAACCTAGCTCTTATAAACTGTAAAATAATGCAACTTGTAATCATGGTAATGACCTAAGTTCACAATTTTAATCAAAAAAGTCTTCAAAAATTTTCTGAATAAAATTTATAATTTGATATCCAAGTTTTAGAAAGTTTGAATTTATAAATAAGATTTTGCAAATAAACTACTCTTGTTAGTTGTTAGTTGTTGTTGTTGTCGAGGAAAAAGCTGATGACCTTGACCTGACCTTGCTACTAAAATATTGACCTGACCTTGCTACTAAAATAAGACGGTGAATATGAGAAGAATCCTTGCTTAAACTTAATATATTAAAGAAGTAATTATTTGATTTTACACAAAATAGAATCAGGCGCGGATCCAGGAATTGCAGTTGGGGGGCGCAAAAACTAGGCAGGGGGTCTGGGGCCCCCGGAAGCTCCTGGATTCTAGAGATTTTGTAGGGTAAAACTGAGGTCTACCGAGTAGACATTTTTACATTTTCTCGACGAAACTATGATGTACGCTAACTTTGACAATTTTAGGGGAGGGGGGGGGGGGCAGGTGTGCCCCCCTTAAATCCGCCACTGTCAATGGTTATTTTCAAGATAATTCATACACATGTATGTATTGATCCCAATTTCAAATAAAAACCACGGAATGTCTATCCAATAAATCAAAAAGTAATCTTATTGTTATCTTTTCTTTCCAGCAAATTTGCAGATACTTGCATAGTGGTGTTTTTCACTTGTGGAATATTCATGTAGACCTGCTTTGGAAGTTTTATTGATTACAGACGTAAATTATAACCATGTGATACAACATAAGCTCGGACTTTCATTCGTCAACTCTCCCTATTTATTTACGTAGCAGTCTCGAGTGTATGTCTCGCAAATGATTCGGGACGCCGCAATAGCATGATAACGAGCAATTTTTAAACCGAGGTTTGCTACTGACAATTTAGTTGATATTACAGGGATTCCTACAATTTCGTATATTTTGGAAATTTTATGTCCGTTTTACAATTTTTAACCTTGTTTGCATATATAAGCTATCGTACGGTCGTATTTTGACTGAGCTTTTTCATACCAATTGTTAGGTCATTGATCATACTAATTTTGACATCGGATTACTCCGTTTATATGATCAACACAGAGGGCTCACGGGGTGTGACCGGTCGACAGAGGATGCCTATTCCTCCTTGGCACCTGATTTCACTTCTGTTTCCTAAGGTCCTGTTCACGATTCGTGTTGCTTACAGTTTTTAATGTAATGTATATTTTCAGAGCACGGATCATATCTATTATTAAGGCTTTGTGTAAATTTGACTTGTGTATGTGTCAGGGTTAGAGTTTGACATAAAAACAATCAATATTTGAAAGTCACAAATAAATAGTTGAGACCGAACTCCAGTCACTAGAAACGCCTGCGTTGCACAGTGCATAGAACATTTTGTTCTAGAAGTTGAGGAATAAGGAGTTGATCCTTACCTCGCCGGTTGGAATCTCATCTCAAGTCATTGAAATAGTTTCTTTGGATGAGACCATGCAAACCGTGGCCCGGTGTCGCAGTAAGTGCTCTACAAAAAGGTCCCTCACTGCCTTATACTTTGCAGCTTTATACCGACATTTGTTGACGTCCCAACATGAGTGAAAATGATTCTGTGGTGGTCATGATCAATTTGCCTTGGAAGAACTAAACTGTCCACGGAGTGAACATTTAAGTATCTCTAGAGGAGGAAAGGAGGCGAAAAGTTATACAGCTTACTTCCTGGAAGTTTGATTTCATAGAGGATGAGGTAGAGGGGGATCAGTACATCTTTTCCCTCGCAATCTGCAGTTTCTGTAAAACAGATGCGCGTCCAGCAGATGTATTAGGCTATTTAGAACTGCTACTGAATTCGATATCAGAGCTTGCCCAAGCTAGATCTTTAATGTAACAGAGAGAGAGAGAGAGAGAGAGAGAGAGAGAGAGAGAGAGAGGAGTGCTTGGGTGATTTGAAACTTGAATGAAATATGGAGATAACGAACACTTATCAAGCTCCTAAGTCCATTGAAACATTACAAATCGGGAGCAGAGCAAACAATAACCTCTGAAAACATCAGAGGTGGGATCAGATGCCATGGAGGAATAAGCATTACCTGTCGACCGGTCACACCCGCCGGGTGCTCCTTGTCATAATCGGACAAACGGTAAATCCGCAGACAATTCAGTGTATAAAAACTGGTAATGGCTTAACAAGTAGTATGAAACACGTCAGTCAGCATTTGACTTAATGATAGATTGTATTTGCTGACAAAGTCATCGTATCGACCATAGTACTTGCGAAATGTTGACTTTAAACGGGACTGTTGATATCCTTTTTTCATGAATTTGTTTTTCGTTTTTAGGAATTGTTCGTACGCAGAGCATGCTCTTGCGTATCGAATGAACTGGGAGGCATAAACTCCATATGCAGGTGATAATGGTATATATTTCTACTGTAACATAAATGAGGGAATTTCACGATAGAAAAGTTGAAGTCATCACGTTTATCATAAGGTTTTGAATTATTGTTTTTTTTAGTAAAATATCCAAATATGAAACAGATGGGTCAGACTCTGTGGTATCTTTTATTTCAAGTTCTCTGCGATATATCGAGTCAACATATGAATGGAAATAACTATTGTTAATTGATAATACGTCGTCGATATATCTAAATATCGAGTTGAAGGCCGCAGCAAGTAGTGTTTTCTTCTTTCATGTAAAAGTTTTTTAAAATAAATTCTGCTTCATATGAATACAAAAAGGTCTGCTAATAAGGGGGAAGGGCATTTGGTACCCATGGAAATTCCAACAGATTGTTGGTAAGATTATATCTCCAAAGACTACATAGATATTGTTAATCAGAAGCTTAAGCATCTTTTAAAATCAACTTCGGAGTACCTGTGTGTACAATCAAAATTTTTGTTGAAAAAGCAGCTGCCTATGATGTCTAAAAGCCTAGACTTAAGTTTACCATGGGGAATGGTTGTATAAAGTTTTTGAAAAGTCGTACGTTTTGGTGTTATTGATTTTGGTAAAATTTTGTGATTTCTAATTTTCGAAATGATCCTTGAAGTTTTTTAAGTATCAACATCTGATTTACACCACTTCTCGAATATATTGTTGCACAGCACTTCTGAAGTTTCTCCTTCACTGGTGTTAATATTTTAGGGAGGAGTAAAGAAAGAGGCTTGGTAAAACATTTACTGAAACCCGCTATGTATCTTTATTTGCAAGGATTTTTTATGTAGTTTAGGAATCTAGTTTAAGTATGAGTATACAATTTGATTGTTGGGAATATTAAAAATATTTAAAACTGATATATGATTTTGAAGAATTTCCTCCAAGAACAAAGGGGAACCCCAGAAGAAAAATATGCTCATGTA